AGCTTGAGGCTCTGTCTCAAAAAAAAAAGAAAGAAAAAAAAGAAAAAATAGTACTTCATTTTATATGGAATCAGGAAAAAACCTCAGATAGCAACCTCAGTAATAAGAACAAATCAGGAGGTATCACATTACCAGACTTCATGCTGTACTATATATCTATAGTGATCAAAATAGCATGGTACTGGCACAAAAACAGAGCAGTAGATTTATGGAACAGAATAGAGAATCAAGAGTTGAACCCAGCTACTTATCGTCATTTGATCTTTGACAAGCCTATCAAAAATGTTCAGTAGGGGAAATACTCCCTATTTAACAAATGATGCTGGGTGAACTGGCTGGCAACCTGCAGAAGACTGAAACTGGACCCCCACCTTTCACCATTAACAAAAATTGATTCTCACTGGATAACAGATTTAAATTTAAGACATGGAACTATAAAAACACTAGAAGAGAATGCAGGAAAAACACCTGACGAAATTGGCCTGGGAGAATATTTTATGAGGAGGACCCTCTGGGCAATTAAAGCAACACCAAAAATACATTACTGGGATATGATCAAACTAAAAAGCTTTTGCACAGCCAAGAGCACAGTAAGTAAAGCAAACAGACAACTTTCAGAATGGGAGATTTTTGCAGGTTATGCTTCTGACAAAGGTCTAATAACTAGAATCTACAGAGAACTCAAACTAATCAATAAGAAAAGAACAAAACAACCCCATTTCTATGTGGGCAAGAGACTTGAACAGAAATGTCTTTGATGAAGACAGGTGCATGGCCTATAGACACATGAAAAAATGCTCATCATCCTTAATCATCAGAGAAATGCAAATCAAAACCACTTTGAGTGTGGTGCCTCTGGATCAGTGGGGAGGGTGCCAGCCCCATATACTGAGGGTGGTGGGTTCAAACCCGGCCCTGGCCAAACTGCAACAAAAAAACAAAACAACAACAAAAAAACACTTTGAGATATCTAACTCCAGTAAGATTAGCCCACATCACAGAATCCCAAATCCATAGCTGTTGGTGTGAAAGCACAGAGAAGGGAACACTTCTACACTACTGGTGGGAATGCAAGCTAATACGACCTTTTTGGAAAGAAGTTTGGACAACATTCAGGGAACTAAAAGTAAACCTACCATTCAATCCTGCAATTCCTCTACTAGGTATACACCCAGATGATCAAAAATTATTTTACAACAAAGACATTTGCACCAGAATGTTTATTGC